AGATTTGTTGCATACAGGGGAAATTGTTGTTCATTCCATCTTCCACCTTGAAACCAGAAACTGGGCTTAATCATTTAAGTCAAGATACAATTGGTTTTTTTATCCCCTAAGAGAGTTGGGGAAAAAAAAATTTAAAACTTCTTCTCCTTTAAGACAAAGAGTTTCTAGCATTTTGTACAAATACACACCATTAAACATTTGCTGATAAAGCAGCACCACTCCCCAGCTCAGAATATCCCAAAATCTGCCAAGTGCAGCTCAGGATGTCATGGGAAATGCACTGAAGCTGAGGGCGGGCCAGCATGTAATAGGCAGTTAATGGATCTCTGGGGTTTTCTGGAGGTCTTAAGGATTCTTCCTCCAGAGAGACTTCAACCCCCATTTCAGCCAGAACTGCGACCTCCCCCCCCTTTTTTTTTTTTTTTTTTTTTTTGGCCTTTTTCTTGTCTATTTTTGCTAATTATCCACCTGTCCAGCATTCTTTTCCAGGAAGCACACTGTCACCTTCCCTTAAGACTTCTCTGCTTTCTTATTCCATGGTGTCTACATAGGTTCTTTTTTTTTTTTTTTTAAGATTTATTTATTTATACATGCACTGGGTACAGTCAGAAGCGCGGGAGGGTGAGAGAACTCACCAGAGCCAGAGCGGGGAGCAGAGCAGGCAGAAGGACCGAAGTACACTGCTGAGGGGAGCAGCGGGCGGCAGGAGAGGTCTGCGCGCCATGTGGGACCCTCCTCCAGTGGCCGGGGAGCAGCCAGGGATCGAACCGGCGCTGCAGAAGCTATGGGCAGCTTCGCAACCCAACGCTCAGCCACTGCGCCACTGGGGAGGCCCTCTACATAGATTCTTTAAGGGCATTGAGAGATTCAAGTGAGAAGTAGCTTTTGGTTTAACCAACTGGTCTTTCCTTGTGATAAATTATATATTTTCCTTTGATTTTGCTTCCTGGTTCCATGTCATCTTCGCCTTCAGAATTCCTTAGTGGAACGTCAACATTCCAGCTACTTGGAATGTCATCACATGTTTTGATGGTGATGAGGATGATAATGATATAGGCACTTCTTCTGTGCCAGGTATCTTAAGTACTTGATACTAATCTTCACTCGGATTCTAAGAGGTCTATATCTTCAGATTTTACAGATCTACAGGAGACAAAGAAAGGTTAGGTAAATTGCTCAATGTTACATAGCTAATAAGTGGTGGGACAGTGACTTGAACCCAGGTCTTAAACCTTCCCCTCTTTTCTTTCCCCCTCATTCTTGTGATTTTGCATTTGCTTTTATTTATAGTAGCTCTTAGCTTCTCTCTAATAAATGGAAACTCCAAAAATCATGATTAAGAACACAACGTTGGGCCTCCCTGGTGGCGCAGCGGTTGAGCACTGGGTTGCGAAGCTGCCTGCAGCCTCTGCAGCGCCCATTCGATCCCCGGCACCTCCCCGGCCACCAGAGGAGGGTCCCACATGGCGCACAGACCTCTCCTGCCGCCCGCTGCTCCCCTCAGCAGTGTGCTTCGGTCCTTCTGCCTGCTCTGCTCCCCGCTCTGGCTCTGGTGAATTCTCTCACCCTCCCGCTCTTCTGACTGTACCCAGTGCATGTATAAACAAAACAAACAAACAAACAAATAAATCATAAATAAATAAAAATACATGCCTCTTTAAAAAAAAAAAAAAGAACACAATGTTTAGGGCCTCCCCTGGTGGCGCAGCAGTTGAGCACTGGGCTGCCAAGCTGCCCACAGCCTCTGCAGTGCTGGTTTGATCCCCAGCCACCGGCGATGGTCCCACATGGCGCGCAGACCTCTTCTGCCGCCTGCTGCTCCCCTCAGCAGTGTACTTCGGTCCTTTTGCCTGTTCTGCTCCCCTCTGTGGCTCTGGTGAATTCTCTCACCCTCGCCTGCTTCTGACCTTACCCAGTGCTTGTATAAATAAATAAATCTTTAAAAAAAAAAAAAGAAAGAAAGAAAGTTTAAGGGGAAAAAAAAAGAACACAATGTTTAGGGCCTCCCCATTGGCGCAAGGGGTTAACACACAACCTATGAAGCTGTCCGCAGACACTGCAGTGTGAGTTCAATCCCTGGCTGGCCAGGGAGCTACCCACATGGTGCAGCAGACCCCTCCTGACTTGCCTGCTGCTCCCCTCAGCATTGTATTGCAGTCAGTACATCTATTCTGTTCCCCACTCTGTATCTGGTGAATCCTCTCACCCCCCGCATCTCTGGCCTGTACCCCAACTCTTGTATGCATAAATAAATAAATCTTTTAAAACAAAAGAGAGAATAAAGGGCCTCCCCGGTGGCGCAGCGGTTGAGCACCGGGTTGCGAAGCTGCCTGCAGCCTTTGCAGCACCGGTTCGATCCCCGGCTCCTCCCCAGCCACCGGAGGAGGGTCCCACGTGGCGTGCAGACCTCTCCTGCCGCCTGCTGCTCCCCTCAGCAGTGTGCTTTAGTCCTTCTGCCTGCTCTGCTCCCCACTCTGGCTCTGGTGAATTCTCTCACTCTCCCACGCTTCTGACTGTACCCAGTGCTTGTATAAATAAATAAATAAATAGATAGATAGATAGGTAAATAAATAAATAAGTCTTAAAAAAGAGAGAGAGAGAGAGAGAGAATACATGTTTAGCATTTCTGCCATAGTACTTTGCATAGAATATAAGCTTAGCAAATCCTCATTGGTACATTTCACTTTGATTATTGACCTGTATTCACTTGCTCACAGACTGTCTTAGTGCTACCTGGATGTGCCAACCATGACTCTCATGCTCAGAATTACCTTTAATTGTTATTAGAGCTGCCAGATTGATAAGACGCTGGTCACCCTCAATGTGAAGGACTCGCATTTATCTGTACCCTTTCCTGGAGAGAATCCAGTGAGATTGTTATGTGTATGCCTGTCTTACGCACCCTGCTTTCTCAGTGATCACCCTTATAATCTACTTATTTACTTATTTATTAAAGATTTATTTATTTATTTATATAAGCACTGGGTACATTCAGAAGCGTGGGAGGGTGAGAGAATTCACCAGAGCCAGAGCAGGGAGCAGAGCAGGCAGAAGGACCGAAGTACACTGCTGAGGGGAGCAGCGGGCGGCAGGAGAGGTCTGTGCGCCATGTGGGACCCTCCTCCGGTGGCCAGGGAGCAGCCGGGGAATCGAACCAGCTGTGCAGAGGCTGCAGACAGCTTCGCAACCCAGCGCTCAACCACTGCGCCTTATAATTTAATAAGTAACATTTACCTTTCAGCATTTGCCAAGTGCTATGGCATGCATTAGCTTACACGGCATTCCACAGATCCTGCAAGTGGGAGTTATTATTCTTGCTATCGCTACATTCTGTGGTGTGGAATCTGAGCATGGAGCTTGGGCAGAGCCATTCAGGCAGCAAGTGGTGAAGGCAGGACTATAACCCAGAATTTCAGCCCAGGGCCTAACCCCTGCTCCCAGAAATGAGTCTGTGGCTGCCATTCCTCTCTAAGCTGGGCAGCAGCCTTTGCCCCCAGTACTTCCTCACCTCAGGCATGGCTCCTCCCCACACTTGGTCCTCTTTCCGAGGTAAGATGTGGTGGTAAAGGCTGGCGCTCTAGAGCCCCCTACCTTGCCTTTGATTCCTACCTCCACCATTGGCTTTCTGCTTGACCCTCTGTGACTACCTCAGCTCAGCTGAAGCTCAGCTCTACACCTGTAAAAGAACATGATAAGCCCCACCTTATAGGCAGTTGTAAGCATCGCATCCCCTATGCACAGAGCCTGCTGGGGAATTGCAGTGTATTCATTAGCTCTGCAAATACCACAAACTGGGTGCTTAAAACAACAGAGATTTATGTTCTCACAGTTCTGGAGGCCGGAGGTCTGAGATCAGGTTGTCAGCAGAGTTGATTTCGCCTGAGCATTCAGACAGCCACCTTCTCGCTATGTCCATTGTGGTCACCCCTCATTCTGTCTGTCCTATGTATCCTAATCTCCTCTTCTTATAAGGACACCAGTCATATTGAATTAGGGCCCACCCTAACAACTGCATTTTAGCTTAATTACCTTTTAAAGTGCTCTCTTTTCCAATATAGTCACATTCTAAAGTATAGGGGTTAGGACTTAAATGTGTATATGGATGGCAGAGCGGGGGGTGCTGTTCAGCCCATAACACAAAGTATGTTCCCCTGTGTGAATTCAGCTATATCTTATGAACAAAAAGGAGGCAGGACACATAAGACCTTAAATAACCTGGGTGAGTCTGCCCACCATTCCTTTCAATGGGTGTGTCTCCCAGTGGGAGAAGATGACTCGAGCGTTTGTCTTGCCTCCATCAGCAGCAGTTCCACTGTATCTAAACATGAGCCCAGTGTGATTCTCACATTCAGGGATATGTATTTCTCATTCAGCGTGGCCTAGACACCAGCCAACTCCTTTATCCAGTGCTCTGGTGAGAGCAGCAGTGATCAAGGCTAATTAGAGCTGAATGTGGGTTTTGCCTTGAACTTCTTTAGTTATAGCAGACGGTGCTGACGGCCCTACCCTGCGTCCAGACCCACCTGAGTTGACTGCAGCTACACACAAGTCTCTGAAGCTGACAGTTTCCCCTTCCTAAGGGGAGAGACTAGGAGTTGAGAGACAAAGGTCCCCACCCACAGTGGACTGAGTCTTATTCTCCATGTTCCGTCCATGGACCCTGGTAGAGTAAGCCCCAGCGGCCCATGCTCTCCTTGGCTCTCAAGTTCCCAACCTCCTCACTTGTGCTTCCGGAAACCATCTCTCAAGTTAACTAGATGGACCTAAGTCCGAGTCTCAGAGTACTTTTGGGAAATCCAAAGTTAGACAGGAATCTACCCCACCTAAGAGATTCCTGCAGCACAGTGAAGTCTCCGCAGATGGTCTGCCATTCATGTTCTCTGGGAATCTACTGAGTGTAAAACCCCACTTGTAGAATTCCCATCAAGGTGAATCCTGCCAACCCTGGGTCTGCCAACCCTTGAGCCAGACCTACTAAGTGCTATCCTCTGTCCTTCCAGGTAATCGAGAAGAACTTGAGTGGCTGGTGGTACATTCAGATTGAAGATAAGGAAGGATGGGCCCCAGCAACTTTCATTGACAAATATAAGAAGACCAGCAATGCCTCAAGACCCAACTTTCTGGCTCCGTTGCCCAATGAGGTGACCCAGCTCCGGCTGGGGGATGCAGCAGCAATAGACAACACAGGCAGTGAAGCCATGGGCCCCTCCCGGCCCCTGCCTGATGCTCCCCATGGTGCTGTGGACCCTGGGATATCATGGTCCAAAGACTGGAAGGGTGGGAAGGAGAGCCTAAGGAAGGTGTCTTTGGACATGTCCTCGTGTGCAGGGTATGAGGAGATCTCAGACCCGGACCTGGAGGAGAAACCCAGCCTCCCTCCCCGGAAAGAATCCATCATCAAGTCAGAGGGGGAGCTGCAGGAGCGGGAACGGCAGAGGATGGAGCAGCTCAGGGGCTCTTCGCCTAAGCCTCCTGGCATGATTTTGCCAATGATTCCAGCTAAACACATCCCCCTCTCACGGGACAGCAGGAGACCAGAGCCCAAACCTGATAAAAGCAAGTTGTTCCAGCTAAAAAATGAGATGGGGCTGGAGTGTGGCCACAAAGTATTGGTCAAAGAAGTGAAGAAGCCCAACCTCCGGCCTATCTCCAAATGCAAAGCTGACCCCCCAGAGGAGAAGCCAGAAGCCATTACACAGAATCCCTTCTTGAAATCCAAACCTCAGGTTAGGCCCAAGCCAGCTCCTTCCCCCAGGACAGAGCCACCTCAGGGTGAAGACCAAGTGGACATCTGTAACCTCAGGAGCAAGCTCAGGCCTGCCAGGTCCCAAGAGAAACCCTTCTTGGATGGGGAGAGCAGCCACCAGGCTGTTGGGGGCCAAGATGTGGCCTTCGGCCGCAACCTCCTCCTTGCAGAGGGACCTGGCCGTGCCCAGGACCGGACAGGCAAGCAGGATGGGCTTGGCTCAAGGGAGGTGGCCTGCAGAGCCCCACCCAGGCCAGCCAAGACTGCAGACCTCGTGCCTAAGAATGCTCCCAGTCCTCTCCAAGAGGCTCTCCAGCAGCGGCCTGTGGTCCCACCCCGGAGGCCACCACCCCCCAAGAAAACCTCATCATCCAGGCCGCTTCCAGACGTCAGAGGGCCCCTCCCAGATGTCAGAGGGCCCCTCCCAGATGTCAGAGGGCCTCAGCGTGAGGCCCATGAAGGCAAGGCAGCTCCTGCCCCAGGCCGGGCACTGCTCATCCCTCCAAAAGCCAAACCTTTTCTCTCCAACTCTTCTGGGGGCCAAGATGACATGCGAGGCAGAGGTGGGCCAGGGCCACGTGGGACAAGCAAGATGGGGGAAAACCGGGAAAAAGTGATGACCGCGGCCCCTTTCCCCCAGATCGATGGCCCAAAGGACTCTTTGTATGTGGCAGTGGCCAACTTTGAAGGAGATGAAGATACCAGTAGCTTCCAGGAGGGGACAGTGTTTGAGGTCCGGGAAAAGAACAGCAGCGGCTGGTGGTTCTGCCAGGTCCTGAGCGGGGCACCCTCCTGGGAAGGGTGGATTCCTTCCAACTATCTCAGAAAGAAGCCGTAGCCTCCTCCCTCCTGCCTGGAGGTCCCACTCGCCCCTGCTGGCTTTACCCCTATATTTAATATGCCTCTTAATTTATCATTCTCCACACAGCTCCAAAGGAAGGAAGACTCTGGAGCACTGTGGTTTCTTCCCTCCTGGGGGTGGAGAGTGATCCCCCATCACATCATCCTCTGGAGGCTCAGAGGCCACACCCTTGTCTCTCTCCACATCAGCATCGCTGCCTTAAGGCCGATGGCATTGCCACCAGTGTCCCTGCCCTCCTAGCAGTGGGACCCTGATGCTCCAGATTCTCTAGGACAGGAGCCACCATCTGGGCAAACTACAGGAGAGGTCTCTGATTGTTTGGACCAGGCATAAGAGGAGCAACTCTCCTTGCTACCCGACCCAGTCCACGATGGCCTGCTCCACTTGCCCATGTCTCTTAGAGCTCAGTGACTTTATTCACTCAGTATCCAAAATGCCTGGTACTAGAGAGAACATCCTGTAGAAGCCGGCTCCCTTGCCAATCCAGGGAGGTGTCCTCTTTCTGAGGCCTCAGGTTCACAGGCCTCTCAGGGTCGACCAGATGCAGCTGCCCCGGGAGTTGGGCATGGAGGGCCACTGGGCCATCGGCCTCCCAGCTGGTGTCTTGGGACCCTGATCGGTCCTACAAGCTTGAGTCACTTTCCTCTGCAGGCTCCTGTCCATCCAGGACTTTGAAATAAGAACCCATGCCCCTTCTTGGGGTATTTCACTTTTGTCTACCTAGAGCAAGAATCTTGAAGTTGGCTTAAATAAGGGGGCCTCGCACAGCCTACTCTTGCCTTGTGAGATTCCCCTTGCTGAGTAGCTAGTAGGTGCCAATTGCTGTCCTTGGCCTTTACACAACCCTTTCGTAATATACCCATTTTATTGATGCAGAAACTTGGGGTCAGTGTGCCCAGGGCATGCTAGCTAAGAAGAGGAGGAAAGAGGTTTTGACATCAATGCTTGTGCCCTTCCTCCTGGAAGAGGCGAACCAGGGAGAGAAAACTGAGAAGCTGGGTATGAGAGCAGGTGGCTACGTGGCTTCCTTGTGATTCAGGTGAGTGGCATTTGTGGCTACTCCCACAACCACCACCTCTCCCACCCGCTGCTGCATAGACAGAAAGCTGCCCTGGACCCTGGTGGTTGGTGCAGAGCCCTATTCCCTACTCCTGAGCTGGTGCTCCCCCTAGGGGGTGGTTCACAGAGCAAAAAGAGACAAGATGGCCTCACGTGCCAGCCTCAAGGGGCTCTGGTGGCTCAAGCAGCTGCGTCTCCAAGCTGGGCACAGCAATCCGTAGCCCCAAAAGGAGGTAGGGACCCAGGGCCAGACACAAACCTGTCCCTCTGCACAGCGGCATCCTGCTCCATGGCACCTGTAGAGTAGCTTTCTTTTCTTTTTTTTTTTTTCCTCATGTACTCTCCCTCTCTGTTATGCCACTAGGAGGAAGCCAGGGTAGCCCTTCCACCCATTTTGCAGATGTGGTTTGCTGAGGTATGCAGGCTGCTTTTGCTTTGGGAACCCACCAGGTGCCCCTTGTCGCCCAACTTGCCGAGGCCCTTTGCAGGAGCCTTGGAGGGAGAAGACAGCCAGGCTGGGGGAGAGCCCTCTAACACACTTCTCTGAGTTTTTAATCCACTTTGGTTTAAATAGACTTTGTGAAGCTATGCCACAGGAATTGCTATATTTCAAAACGTAAAATTCTTACTTTTTTTCTGATTCCTTTCTGCATTCGTTGACCTTTTCATTGTGAGCACCTACTAGGTGCTAGGTGCTAGGTAGTCCAAGGTGCATGGGACTCCATGCCTGGCTGTGGAGAACTGTGAGTTTTATTTGCTGATTCCACTGAATGGGCTTGTCTCTGGCCTCATTCCCTCTTCCTGGGCAATGACTGAGTGGGAATGAACTGTTTCCACCTCTCTCTGGACAGAAAGTTTTCCTGCAAAGGAAAGAACTGCCTTTTTAGTAGTAGTAGCAGTAGTAGTAGCAGCAGTAGCAGCAGCAGCAGCAGCAGCAGCAGCAGTAGTAGTAGTAGTAGTCCTTGTCATATTCTGATGTGAACTGAAGGTACTGAGGCCACATCCCTCCCTGTTCACTGTCTTTCCTCAGGGCACTCTGGCTTTGAGGACACCTCTCCAGCTCCTACCACAGTGGTGGGCACATCCCTGGGCAGCTGGAAGGTCTTGATGGCCAGTGGCCCTCCCCAGCCGTCTTTGCCTGGGCACTCAGGTTCACGGCATCTGGGACCGTGGCCACTATTCTGTGAGAATCTGACAGAACATATTGCAAAACCCTTGGAGTTTCAGCCATGGGAAATGTCCCAGGCCAATGTTAGAACTCCCTGCCAGGCTCCAGGAAGGTCAGCGGTGCCTGGATACACCCCCTCCTTTATATATCTGTATCCTCACAATGCTGTGAGGTGCAGAGGACCAGCCCCGATCTGTGGTGAGAAAATTGAGGGGGGATGAAGTTACATGCCCCCTTTGTCTAAATAGTGACTGAGCTGAGATTGGAATCAGGTTTTTTCTCCCCAATACCCTTGACTTTGCCTCTGCCATCAGCAGTGAGATGACCATGCAGCTTCCAAGGAGGCAGCTAACCTCTCTGAATTTAGGTTTCAGCTCCCCTCCCCCTCCACCCCAGGATCGTGCATGTCGGTGGGTCATAGGCCACATGCCAACCCTAAAGGCAGGCAAAGGTAGAATTTTTTTTCCCCCTTTCCTCAGCCCTGCTTCCTTGTGATGACTCTAATATCCTGGGACAAAACTACAGCATGTGCCATTGTGTCATTGGAAAATCCAAGTTTTAGGAGCACCACTTGATAAAAAAAAAAAAAAAAAAAAAAAGGCCTTTGCTCAGATTGTTCAATTCAGTATCTCCTTGCCATTTGGGTCTATGTCCTTGTCCCAGGCTGAGACTTGTGGAGAGCTGGGCACTAGCTCCAGCCATTTTTAAAGTCCTGACCCACTGAAAGTTGCTGAAACCACAACAGACTTCCAGAGCCCCTCGGTGTCATCCATCTCTTTGGCAGTTTTGGCCTTAAATCACTTTTGAACCCACTGGGGATTTCTTTGGGTTTAACATAGCAACACAAACCTGCCGCCTTGGAGAGCAGGTGCTGAATCTCCCCAAGTCTTGGCAGGACAATAGAATGAGGTGTGGACAGTCAAATATTTATTGAGCCTGCAGCAAGTACCCAGCACTGAGTGGGGGAAAGAAGAAATTGCTCCCGCCCTCAAAATAATTGCCAGCAGACATGGTTGAGAACAAGAACATAATTGGCATGTCCTCTCTCCTTTCGTTGTGGCCTCGCCTCTTAAGTGATGGATCAGGCTGCCTCTGGAAGGTCTTGCTCCTTGCTTGGCTATCCAGGCACATCCTTCAGCGCTTTCACTGCAAACAGCCATACCAGACCATAGACCAAAGATTACCTAATGTCAAAGCGTGTGGCCTGTTTGAATGGGAAATTGACTGCATTGACACCTGAGAGTGTGGGATGCCCTCCCTCACCATGTAGGCTTGCTCCTAACTCGGCTGAGGTTCTAATGTCTAGACAGACCATAGCCCTGAGGGTCCCCAGCAGAGTGGTGGAACCACGGGGTTCAAACCAGGAGGTGCCATAGTCTTCACCTTCTGAGGACCCCACAGATTTGACGTCCAGCTCCATGAGGTAATGACTGGTTTCTGGGGCTACCCTGCCAAGTTGTGGAGCCTCTCATCTTACTAAGCATTCCACGTTCCTCTCCATTTTATTATCTATCCCATAGCTCCAGTCAGGACAAGGGGTCCAACCTCTGTTGTCCTTGAAGAGGCCAAACCCAGTGTCACAGCCAGTAGCCTTCACATTGAGGTCTATAAACGGACGGAAGGCACTGCCCCAGCAGGCTTGTTACAGCAATAAGCAATCCTAACACAGCTAAGGTGTCCACAGTGTATCCCAGTGTCCTCCTGTCAATGCCTTGGTGCCATGTAATTGATGGCTGTGCCCCTTTCCCTCTTACAGGGGTGATGATAAACTATGGCCACCTTAGCTACAACTCATTCCCTGCTTCAGGGAGCCACCAAGTTAACTAGTCCATTTGCATCCCTCCAGGAACAGTGGACACTGACAGCATTGCCCCACCTCATTTCTGCTGTTGGATGACCTACATGTCCCTGGATTTCTCATCACTGTTCATACCCTCATGGCAAACTGACACATTCTGGTGGTGGTGTTTGTTTCCTTTTAATATGAAAAAATACATGAGGATATATAATGTGAGGGGGGGTGATGGACAATTAGCTGTAGCACGTATCGACTATATACCGTTAGAATTTTTCTTTTTTTTTTTTTAATAAAAAATGCTTGACTGGTTTCAAGCTTCATGGTGAAATGCAGTCTTGTTGAATCTTATTTGACTGAAGAAAGGGTGCGTAGCTTTGTGCCTCTTGAGAGGGAGATTGGGGATCAAAGAACAGGAAAGCCTGTGTGAGCTATGTTTGGGAATTACCCAGAAATAGGGGTGACTCCACTACCAGGGCCTCACGTAGCTTGTTTCTTATACTACAGTGTCCAGAAACCAAGGGATGCTTCATTGTGTTCATTGGGTATCGCCCACATTCTCAGCTTAAAGGTGGAAAACTCCACTGTCCAGGGAGACTTGAAGCCCTTGGAGGCATTTCCTGATGGGCAGCAAAAGGTGGTGGGCAAGGGTGTGGCCATAGTTGGAAGGTGACATCTTGGAAGGTGGAGGCCATTGCCTGCCATTTTTACTACTTTCCAGAGGGCAGGGATGAGGCAGAACCAGCCTCCAATTTTGAATGTCCTTGGTCCCGGGTAGGTCTTTAAATAAAATGACTCCACCACCCCAACTTCCTAGAGGGAAGATCAGAAACTGCAGAGTCACTGAATAGGAACTTCAAAGGATGACATACAAGGCATCCTTTCTTGGAGGAAACATTTTAAAGAATACAATGACCTTTCAGTGACCTTGCTTAGAAATAATGGTCATTCATGTAATAATTTCTGTCCCCATAATAAGGGAAAATGATTAGGTGTCTCCAGACTCCCCTGGGAGCATTTCCTCCCAAATCTTCCAAACCATGAGTGCTGTTGCTTCACAAGAATAAAACTGGCAATGGCCTGGGCTTGCCTGGGTGGGCATGGAGGGGCATCCGGGCCTGATGGGATGGGGTGGGAAGGGAGAAGGGCCATGGTTAGGGGCCAACCCTGACTCGTCACTCAGGGCCTCTTACCCATTACCTTTCTTCAGGTCTCATTTGGGACTGGCACATATGCCATTCCCTTTATGTTCCAGAATATCACACCAGACACATCTGGCTTCGCACCTGCAAGCTTTTCCTGCACCAAAGGTGAACTTGTCCATCTAAGACTCACATCATAGAGTCACTTAAAGTCTAGGGTCTCTAATGTCCACCCCTGTTCAATTTAATGTCATTCCGGTCCAGGTAGAATTCCGTGGCATTGTGCAAACCACGCCGCCCAATTAATGGCTCCCAAATTTTAGTGACCCTACAGATTAGCTTATCAAAGTGCACCTCCCTGGACTTCACCTCCTAAAAGTTGCAACCAGCAGGACTCTGCTTCCTGAAAAAACTCAATGCCTACCTGTGCCGTGTCTGCAACCTTTCTTCTAATAAACCTAATTTTTTCAGATAAAAAAACAAAACAAAACTCAATGTGGGGTCTTTCCATCTGGTGGCAGTCATCAGGTAAGCCAAGATGGGTGCTTGCAAGTCCACCCAGGAGCGCTAGAGGAAGAAACGGTCCCATGTGATGTGCTTTCTTCGCAGATTGTGCTACTGGCAGTACCCTAGTTGTCAGTGCTCCCAGGGCCCCGCCCCCAACCCACCTGGTCCCATAAAGCACACAGACTGAGGGCCTCCCTGGTGGTGCAGGAATTAAAGTCTCAGCACTATCAAGCTGTCACCAGCCACTGTGGCTTGAGTTTGATCCCCAACCAGGGAGCTGACCCATATGGCTCAGCAGACCTCTCCTGTCTCACCTGCTGCTCCCCTCAGCACTGTATTTCAGTAGATCTGCCTGTTCTGCTCCCCACTCTGAATCCTCTCACCCCCCACATCTCTGGCCTACACCCCAGTTCTCCTATGCAAAAATAAATCTTTAAAAAAAAATAAGTAAATCACGCAGATTGAGATAAAAAGCTAAGCAACATCATGTCATGTATCAGGTTTGTATGCACCGTGGTGACCACAAACATCCCACCCACTCCTAAGGGTGCAACCTACGACAGTCTTTCCATCATAGTATTAGCCTGCTCAAGTTTGCTGGAAGCCTTCACTCTGTTGCTGACACCAGAGACCAGATGCCACAGTGTGGCTCTGAGTATCCTGAACTTTCACTGGGTTACTGAGGATTCCACATAGATATCCTTGGGGGTTATCATCATGGATCCTTCCACAAAGCTATCAGTAGAAATCCTGACACCCAGCAGACCACCAAACTGTCCACAGCACAGGGAGATGCAAGGACTGACATCTACATGTCACAGGAGTGTAGACATCTACAGGCCTCAGAAAAGGCCCCAAGTTCCACCAGACAATTGGTGGTTTTCAAAGGAAGGCTCAGAGAAGGCACAATACTCTCTAGCTCCACTATTACCACTGATAAGTTATGTTTATGAAATTTTTACCCAATAAACAATTTAGGACACACACACACACACACATATGCACTGTGAGGAAATGGTCTGTGTGTTCTACTTTTGAGAAAAGGCCAGACTCAGCACCTTGTCTGCCTGGCATAGTTTAAACTGTTCAAACACAGTGCTTTATACAATATTTTCAATATCACCATTATTTTTCTGAACCTTTACTGTGTGCCAGGCCTGTGGGCCAGACTTCACATACACTATTTGGTCCTCAGGAAGCTCTGAAGGCACTATGTTTCAGGAACGGCAAAGGCAGTACAATGATATGTCTTGCCCCAAAGCTGGCTCTCACCCCACAGGTCTCCTCCCAAATGCTAACCAAAGCACATTTCGCATCCTGATATAATTATTTCCTGGATTCAAGATCTCATTCAAGAAATACTACCTCTTTCAAAAAGCTAATTCTGTCTCTAAGGGAAAAGGTCTAACTTCTGTTGAGTACTTGCTATTGGCTGAGTTCCTTCGAGATGGTGTCTCTTTGATCTCCACTGGAAGATTCTTCTGGGTAGGAATTAGTATACCCATTTTGTGGATGAGGAAATAATAGTCTGAGAGGTGGTATGCTTGTGGTCACAGACAGTGTGAGGAGGAACTTGGATATCTAACTCCAAAGTCCCTCATAAGCATGGGCCAGCACAAATCCCAAATCTCTCATCTTTCCATTCAGCATTTTCCAAAGTGTTTTCCAGAACAAACAACAATACATAATGCCTGAAGTAAGTGTTCTGCAGACACTGCCTGAGAAATGCTGAGTGAAATAAAGTTAAGTAGCTTTTTGATTGCACTTTTTTGGTCTATTTTTTTCTTCTTGAAGTTTTCTTTTATGATAACAGATAGTAGGAATACATGTGGGTTCCTCGAATGTACTTGACCTTGAAACAGTTCACAGTGCATCTAGAAGGAACAGTGTTTCATGTCACAAACTCTGGAAAAGGTCAATTTTTTTGTTTCAACTCTACTTTGAATTCTATCAGTTCTCCCATCCTTTGCTGATTGCCGCCTTATAATTCCAGGAGGAAATCCATCCCTTACTGCAACTTCATCTTCTAGGTTAACATTCACAGGATCGTGAAAAGAACTTCTTTGAGTGGACAACTGCTCATGAGCTTCAAGGTTTCCTATTTGCTGCTGGTCTAACTTGGAGCTATCAGAATGGGTTACCCCATAGTAAGGTCACCAAGGCACATAGGAAACTTCAGAAAACAGTTGCCAGGAGTGGAATTTGTTTTCCACCTTATAATCAAGTTTTCCTTTAGAGGCCTGTACATTCATGGCAGTGTTCAGAGCATTCAAAGTCAAGTTAATAAAGCCCAGGTTAACATCCTCTTAAGAACCACAGGTCCCAGCTCCTACAATATACTCTGTTGTCTGATTCTGTTTCAACTACTTGCAACTTGGCCACACACTTGCACAGCCTAGTGTGGAATGGAGTCTTCCAGTGGTTTTCATGGTGTATGTAGCATCATTAAAAATTAAAGGAGGAAAGAAAACAAGATATGAGGCTCCTTAAAAATTATCTATTGGCTACTGATTAGGCCAATTTGAGCTGGTTTATTACTGTAACAATTATATTTTACAATCAAACAAATATATAAAATTCCAAGTGTCTGAAGGATGACCTATCTCTCTTAACTCTCTCCCTACGTATGCATATAGAGAGAAAGGGATGAGGAGGAAAGGGAGAAAGATCTCATTTTTCACTGCACTGCGATGGTTGGTCTTACCCACCTCCTGGGATGCATAGACTTCACCTTGTAAACCCCTGACAGAGGAACTTTGGGATTGGGCAGACATGAGTTTGCCACTGGCTCTGAGACCCTCACCTCTCTGATCCTCAGCATCCTCATCTGTAGAATGGGCTATCTTGCCTGGGGGGATTGTTGTCGTGGGGATTAATGGAAACAACGCAGGCCTTGCCTACAGTAGGCACTTCTAATAGCACAACCTAGTCATTACTGTTTCTATGAAGAGTACCAAGAATGAAGTCTTCCAATATTTTCATGGTTCAGTACAAAAATTCATTAACTTTACTTAAACAGGCATTAATATGTGGGACTTGAGGAGCCAAGAGTAGAATCCAAAGTGTTACGCAAGGACTTACATAAGTAGTTAAAATGTAATCATCTGAATATGTAAAAAACCAAGCTCAGCTCTGTGAGAAAACAGGCAGCTGGATGGATTTAGACCCAAGGGCTACAGTTTACGAAACCCTGGCCTTGTGCATCCCCCACCTCCTACTTTATTGCTTTTCTCTAAATCAAAGTTTTTCCAAAGTGTGTTTATGGGACATCAGTCCCTCACATGATCATGAGAAAGCACTGTGTGGCTCAATCCACTTGGCAGTCATTTTTATGTAGCCTCACAGCCTCACTCTTCAGAGATGTAGGTCACACGCTAGCACAGTGAGGGTCTGAGAATCCTGTGGTGGAGAAGCTATTTAACCCGGCTGAGTGCAATGTTCCCAAATGCATCTGACAACAAAATTCTTTTTCATGTAACCCTAATGAGCATCCCACACTATATACTTTGGAAAAGTGCTGCTGTAGATTCTAGAATGAATTTCACTGTATTCAATTACAATGCATACATTTGAGGGCTATGACTTGGATGTTATGTGTTAGTTACCATCCTCAGCAGAGTTACCGGGCCACCTTGGCCTTCAGTTTGAAAGAAGTGCGCATTTGCTGGGTTTGTCTGTGTTTATGTCAGGACCGTAGAACTGTCAATTGGAGAGCAAGGAATTCCCTCTTCATAGGCTCAAGAGATCCAATAACAGCACTGTGCACTCAGGAGACCTGAGAAGCAGCCCACGTCTTTGTTACAATGAAGATGGTTTTGCCAAACTACTTCCACGATATTATTTTCATTG